AGTGGTACTCACAGCCACTTACCAAAGCCTGAACGCATCGAACTAGCCGACTTAAGACACAATGTAAAACAGCGTGTCGTCAAAGAATCTAATGCAATTGCTCTTATTTACGACCAAGAGATAGCTACTGCACAATTAAGTTTATCAGCTCTGTCAATGGCACCGAATTCAACAAAAGCTCGTAACTTTTTACTTTTTCTAAATTTCGTCATTCGTGCCATTGCTAATTTATACAGTCATCTTTACAACGCCTTCGCCGTAAGAGAACACCACCACTTCCAGTATCGAATGATTTTGAAATACCAGATCGATACAGTCAAACTATAGATCACAAGGATTTTCTACTTTTTCATACTTGGATTCGTAATAAACGTATTATTGCATTTGCTACTGATCTTCAACTTGCAATTCTTTTTCAATCTACAAAAATCTTTGCAGATGGCACATTCGAAGTATGCCCTCCTCATTTTGATCAGGTTTTTACCATTCATTGTATACATCATGGACATGGCAAGTTTCACTGTTTGAACTATCTATACTATGTTTTTTTTCTTATACACGTAGCTATTCCAAGTGTTATATGTTTGCTTCCTGAACGGTCCGCAAATATTTACAAGCATCTTTTTGAATTACTCCAAAATGAAGCTAAAGACCTTCGACTTAAGTTTCAACAGAATGTCATAATGACAGATTTCGAACCAGGATTAATTAAAGCCATAAAAGATCAAGTATGTTTTTCCTTTTATCTATTGCCATAAGTTACCTGTTTCTTATAACGATGTTATATTCTTAGTTTCCTTCTACAACGCATACTGGGTGTTTTTTGCATCACACTCAGGCTGTTTTTAAAAAAGCAAACTCACTTGGCCTTTCTGGTGATTACAAACGTGATGCAGATGTTCGATCATGTGTACGAAAATTGATGAGTCTTCCGCTTTTACCAGTTTACAAAATAAAATCTGCATTTCAGTATCTTGCCAATGATCATCGAGATTGTCTTGATCCATTATTCCCTCGACTGTAAGGAGGGTCATATGAAATAAAATAGTTTGTATGTTTGTGTCA